GCGTAGTTTTATACTTATATATAATATAGTAGAGTAGTTTTATACTTATTACTGCTTATTAGCTTATGATCCACCGTACACGCAAGTTATATTCTATCTGGTCTGTTTTAATAATTTCGTTGAAGAAATGATACTGTTTTTAAAATACATATTATGAATTTTATAATATTTTCTTGATCTGTGGTCGGCGCTCAACTTTTAAACAAAATTTGCTGGGTGTAAAGAATGTAGAAATGAATGGAAATTGAATTAGAAAACAAGCCGAGTTTTGTGTAAAATGACAAATTGCTTACAACAAGGTTCTCCTCTCCACGATCTGGAGCCGGAAACCTTGTTTGGAAATAGTTCCATAAGTATAATATATTGATTATTGACTTCTGTCAAACTCCATGCGTATCACTTTCCAGTGGGTAAAATGGTTTTGTTATAGCTATTAGCCGGCTATTAGCCAGCTATTAGCCGGCTGTTAGAGGGCTGTTACGGTAACAGTCGGCTAATAGCCAGTCAGCACTGTACCTATTTGCCGTTATTTAACTTATCTAATATTCTCCAGTCTGATATAATTCCCCAATTAATAAACTCAGCCAACTTGACATGGTATTCGTTTACAATTGTAACGAATTGTGACTTATTCGCTTCAATCACCTCATTTTACGTACTTACTAACATATGAACAATATTATCGCTGATGCAATTGATGTCTGGTAGACATATTATAGATTTATTAAAGATAGGAATATGTCCAAATGGGCTATGTCAGACTAAATATGTCTTGGCTTGAGACTAAATCATTTATTAGAAGAGGCTGGTTTAGACACATCCCAGTAGATATTGTCGACGCAAATTTCTTACCGAATTTCTTACCGGAAGTTTCCTGTTAAGTTTGCTGCGGGCAGAAGAAAGAACACCTGAAGTGATATAAAACTAAAACTTTGTTGACTGGTTCAAATGCTTAAATGGCCTTTAAATCAGCATAAAATAATAAAAAATTGGCCAAGGAATAAGAAGTGCCCAAAATTTGGACCCCCAAGTGGTGTCAAAAACGCGAATTGAATAGATAATAATTATTTTAGTCTCTTGAACCCGTCTAACACTCTAACACCACTATAGGGTTAGACGGGTTCCTGCTAGACTTTTAATATTTGTTACATTTACTTATCCAATCTGTTACTTACTCTTATTACTCCTAAAGCACTAGATAGCTGTTTACCACAGACCACCTTCAGCTATGTATCTGTTTTTCTTGAAACTTGAAATATTATTGACACTTTCTATTGTTATTGCGACTTGCGAGCTTATGTACAGTTACTTTCATAATTACTGACCCAAGACAAATCTTGACAAATCAAATACGTTTTATTTGCTCTTTAGAAAAGAGCACGTGCGCGTGGTTTGGACGCTACAGTTGACCCCCGTTCATTACCACTAATTGGAACTTGATAAGCGACACTTTATGTAAACTGAAGTTTTAATGATAATAACATCAGAAGGTCCTTTGTATTTACAGTACAGCTCTACCAGTGCCCTGATGAATTAATATTCAAATATTGAAGCGAGATTAGAATATGAATAGTCCAATCCCTCTTATTTCAATATTAATATTGATTCCTGATCATTATACAAACCTGTATATGATAATATTGATAAAACCATCTTATTCGCATCATTGTTATTAACATTATTAATTACTCCCGTCATTAATATTTAAAATATGATAATATCGTCTGCTCAGTGCTCATGAGTAATGGAGATTCCTGGAAAGCCAGAATCTCATCATGTCAATGGCAGACTATCATTAATAGTGTTAAGTACTAGTCGCCCCTACGTACAGGGAGAGTTTCTCTGATATTAACATATTATTTAATACTTACATTATATCTTATAACTGATCTTATAACCAATGTGATGGCACAAGCGAGTGTTGTTTAAGTAGTACTCAGTAACCATGTAATACTCGTCGAGTATATGCTAACTCAATTGTAATGCTTTATTCTATAGTCCATTTCAAAAACACCTGTTTATTTCTTTGTTCATCTCAGTAACTACATCATATACTATATATAAACATTATATATTATATGATAATAAATATTAAATATGGGACTTAAGTTATAGGTCTTGGTGCTGGTTAGTTGTTTTAGTGTGGTCAGTTCGTTGGCTACTGATTTACTACTTTTCTAATCTATATATACTGGTGTGCTATATAACCTGGCAGAAACTGACACTTAATACTTAGTAATAAGGTATATTATGACGTGTAAAATATTTGTATAGACTGTGTTAATGTGGAGTAGCTTTTAGAAACATTGTTTGAGCATAGCAGGAGATATAGATTATAGGACCCCACAAATTTAATGTAATAATCTACAATGATCTGATAAAAGTCCACAGTGACTAGGCCAGTAAAAATAATGCACGGTTAGCAGCCTTTGTGAACAACTAATGTGACAAGTATTATAAACCGATAGCTATGTTTTCCTGCTAAAGTGAGATAATGTTGAATAAGTGCAAAGTGGTCTTGTGTCCTCTTTTATCTACTAAATCTCTCTCTTTATTGTGCTAATATTGTTAGGCGTCAGTATTACTGCGGTTCAATAATCAGGTGAATTGTAGTAGTGCTGGACCCTTTATCATATCTACTGTGTGTATTTGTCAGCTTTCGTATAAGTCACTGACTATTAGTTCCTCTGAAAACCCTGCATAAACATTAAGTTAATAATTTAAGGCGATAAAGCTAGAATAGTAGTGACTTTGTTAAATTAACTTTATTTGTTACAGCCTCTATGAATTTGCTTTATCAATTATTTTGTTAGCACTTTCCATCGAGGAACAGCGTACCAGTTAAGAATAAGTTTAAATTATTTTTATTCAATTTCGAGTATTTTCGCTTTCAAAATGCTCAATATTAGATTTCAACTTACAATCTAACTCGACCCACCAGGTTAATGAAGATGATTGGTTAGTTTGTGTCACGTGGTGTGAATACTGTGCTCTGATTAGATAATGGAGATGTTCCTGCTCTGCTCCAGTATAACCGTCTTTATTGGGCTCCCTGCCAACTTCCTAGTGCTGATCTACTTCACATTTGGTCGTGTCCCCATCAACAAGTCCATGAAAACACTCCACATCTGGATAGTAGTGACGGATATGATAATAGCTGTAATCCTGCTCCCCTTCACTATGGATGGTATCTCCCAGTTCGAGGTGTACACCCCCTCTCATCACGTGCTGTGTGAGATATTAGAGTTCTCCGGGGATATGTGGATCCGGATATCTTACTTTCTTATCTGCATGATATCAGTAGTCAGACTGCGCCTCATCCGCCGTATTAAGAGTCCTGGTACTCGTGTTAAAGTTCCTATCAATAGAATCCTCATAGCTGCTTGTCTTTTCTTTGCTGTTCAGTCGTTGTTCCCGATAGTGTTGCGACACATCCAGGGAGACGCGCCCACGTGTATTGACCAGAAATTATGGGAGATAACATTCCCAGACCCTGTAAACAGACGGATCTGGAGACTATTAACAATTCTACTCCAGGTGGTGAGTGCTATTCTCATTATAGTGGTAGTTAACAGTATCTCAATATACCACCTACTATTAGATGAGGGTAGAAAGCTAAGCTCAGTAGAGCGACTCACTATACAGTGGGTCAACACCACCTTCAGAAGACAGAACTCTGTGTTTGATGAACCTAGCTTGGTTAAAGTCAAGACCTTTGCAGCGTGTGTTAAAGCTGCGTCCATCACTCTCCTGCTGGCTTTTGTGTTCTTCTGTCTGCACATATCAGGTGTGATACACACGTGCTGTAAGATACTGAGTATAGAGACTCACATTAACGGGGAGATAGCTAACTCTATCAGCTACCTTACCCCCGCCGTGCAGTGCATTGTGTACGGGCTCAACTTTAAAGGGTTCTGGGTGTTTTGGTATAACGCACTGTTGAGGTTAGCACTGAGGGTAAAGGGTGTGTTGGGGTACAGCACTGTGTTGGAGAGCAGAGTGAGTGAGGGTCAGAGTGAGGAGCTACTCAATGATAACACTCACCACTCTAGAGTATCATCTCAGGTGCTGAACACTCGCCACAACACTCACCAGACTCCTCACCACACCCCTCGATTGGACAGAGATGTGATAATGTGGTATAATTAATATCAATTATATATATTCTTAATTAGTCTTCTTGTTGCAGTTGTTTGTGTGTTGGTTCTGTTATTGTAGCTAAATGTGGATCATATTGATAAATGGTTGAGAGATGTAACTTGACCTTCTATGAAAGTCTAAAAGCGCTGGAGATGCAAAATTATGCCGTTTATTTGTTTTTAAAACTTGATATTGATAAATCATTCACTGCTGATGTAGACTTATAGACTATAAAGTATTTGTTAATTGCTTTTGTTTGCTAATTATTTACTTAGAATCAAACCTTTCTTTTTTCAATCTACTGACTAATTCTTTGTACGATTTATGATACGGGGATGAATGAACTGTCTTCTAATTTACACATCTTAGGAAAAGTATTTAAAATTGGAAGACACAATTTAATTTCAAACTCTTTACTACTCTACAAACTCTAAAATTAGTGGATCCTCCTTACCTCGGTGTTGTTAATTTCGTAACATTATTTAAATGAAAAAGTTACAAGAAGTAACAAAATCGTAGGTAAAAAGTTACAAAATCGTAGGCAGGGTGGGCTGTCTCTTTTATCTTCTCCAAAATATCAATCAGGACTTTCTAAGAATAATTCTTTGCTGTTTACTCAAAATTGTGGTTAACCGCTGATGAAATGGTCTAAAGAGGTTCTCCGAAGAGTTTTTCAACACCAGCATTTTATAAAAATAAATTGTCCACACTCCACTGTAAAGAAGGATCGAAAATTAGATTTCTGACTGTGTTATATTACAAATCCTTTATTAGAGCTTAGTGAAAACTTGATACTTGAGATAATTTTTCAGTTATTACTTCCTTGATTAGCTTAAAATAATAAAATGTAACTTTTTCAGAACTTCCACCCCTACGAGGACTGGTTGTCTAAATATGGTAAGAATGTTAGCTAAATATGTTAAATATGCTAAATATGTGGTGCAAAATTTGTGGGTGAAGTTATTACACACTGTCACGTGAAAACTCGGCCCAGAGTTAAGTGACAGATAAACTGATAAAGTTCATAAGATAAAAGATATGATTTCAGCGAGACACATGGAGAAATTACTGGATATTATACCGCCCGGAGAGTCTAAACTAAGTTATCTCAGAATGTTGTCTGGTAAGTGAAGCTGTAAACTGACTCCAAACCTCTTAAAATTTGAAAATTCAATTAATTATTATACATATAAATCAAGCGTTACATTTCAGCCATACAAAATTACAATGACATATTTTGATATACTAATTGATAAATGGTACTGCAATATAAGTTGCTTAATGTGTGGCCGAATGACAACTGACTAAACAAGAAGAATAAACTTGATTATATAATAATTAATTCGGCTCAACCAACACATAGCAAGAGCCACATTAACGTTGGGGCCGTCTAAAATATAGAAAAATCCAGCAAAATGTTAACATGATATAGCCTTGTGTTTCAGTTAGATGTTAACATGATATATACCTTGTGTTTCAGCAAAATGTTAACATGATAATATGTGCCACGCAATACAGATTCATTTTGTTTGAAATTATCAACAAATGTCTGGAGACTGAGGGGCTCTAATTTTATGCTGAACAGTTTGGTATAATTCCAATCCTAGGGTTTAGTTTGATAATGTTATAAATTAGACTTTTTGTTCACTAAATTTGATAAAAATGAAAACAGTGAGTGATTTTGTTTGACAACATATGTGACAGTTCGTACTGCACTACAATTCCACTGTTGATCTATTTTAGTTTCATGTACTCTAGACACATTTTCTCCAGATTCTCCAGCGCTTTTTTAAAGTCATCAACATACCGATCACGCGGCTGAGGACATAGGACTTCATAGAAATAATCTCCTCCTTGTTTAGCTTGTTCCGCTCTGAAGCGTTGTTCCGAAAAGTAACGCTGCTCATCGTCACTTAGTATTTTAGGAATCATAAGTGTCGCACAGGTTGTAGCTCTTTCTGCTGTAAGCTTTATGTTTTGAAATTGCACATGATTTAATGCCAGCTGTGTTCTGATAGCTAAAGGATGTCTCAGTTTCTTCTTTAGGCTCTGGGTCCAAGAGAACTTCTCTAAATCAAATTGTTTTTTGCCAAACATTGTAGACAGTTCCATAAGTGCTTCTACAGGTTCCATTTCACGTAACTCATGATCATGCATTCCCGAGATGCAAATAGAATATATAATTTGCTCAATAGTTGACAATGATTCCACAATTTCATCTTCGGATGATCTCAAGCCAGGTACAAGCTCTTCCATTCTTTTTAGATAAAAGTTAGCCGCATCCTCTAGTATGTCTCCTCCTGACATATTCTTCGCAAGGTTATCTAAAGAGCGGATTAGTTCAGCAGTTTTGTGATTGATGGTTTTATTTATTTTTAAAAGTAAGGTAGCGAATTGTTGTGGTAATAATTCCGCATCCGTCAGTATTTGATCACTCATTCCAATTATCTGCTCTTTTACTATATCGCTAAGAAAAGTTATCACATTATAAAACTGATTAATATTATTATTAAGTAAGGGGAGTAAGTGTCTGCACCTAGTGGGTGGGGTAGAAATCACTACAGTAATGCAACAAAACAGCCTTAATAGTTAAAACAGGATTAATGTCAAACGTTCCACTGTTTTGGTGTGAGTTAAGGAATGTTTCATGGTATCATGTCTTCAGAGTTATATTATTGCGCATCATTGTTACAGCAATCCTAGAAAAATAGTAGGCAATCTTAAGCGAGACATTTGTTAACAAAGAAAAATATAGCCTGTGACTTGTCACTTGTGAAATACACAGATGATTTATAATTACTAGTGTAACCCGTGCCTACAGCCGGGACTTCACTATCGCAGTTAATGATGATGATTTTTACCGATCGTAAGACAAATGCCTATCAATTTCTACTTATCCATGCACCAATTTTAGATTTATAACATACCAAAATGCGTGAATAGTTGATAGGTTGATAATTTAAAAGAGAAAAAAGGTTATGCTAAAAAAGAGAACAATATTCCGGCTATGAGAAATGAGCATACAACTAAGTGCGCTTATCTAAACACTAGCCGAGTATCCGGTTACTTTTAACACAATCTTAGTTCTTATCAAGAAGACATGTGACATCTCGAGTTTCCTTTAAATATAATGATATGCACAATGACAACCCAAAATATTGTGAAAACTCGGATAAATGTTCCAATCGTGTTATGGTGAAACTTCCCTTCAAAATCGTATTTCTTTGGTGAAATTAATTAAAACCCGCCGCTTTAATGATTAGAAATGCCAAGTTAACATGATATATCCTTGTGTTTCAGCAAGATGTTAACATGATACAGTGGTGTAACGAAGGGCCCCGCTGACCCCGCCGTGCGGGGGGGGGGGGGGGGGGGGGGGGGGGGGGGGGGGGGGGGGTGCAATCTTAGGGGGGCGCAAAATCGTCGTTTGAATGTGGGACAATTTTGAAAAACTTAACTGAGGTACTAGCAAAACTGCACGTTCTGCTCTAGAAACGCACTTTTTTTAGAGATTTTACCGGCGTATCCTCCAAAATCACCTAATTTGTTCAATTGCAGGGAGGGGCGCCAAAAGGGGAGGGTCGCCAACAGGGCAGCGCATTTTCGTTACGCCACTGAGTCATGATATACCTTGTGTTTCAGCAAAATGTTAACATGATATAACCTTGTGTTTCAGCAAGAAGTTAACATGATATAACCTTGTGTTTCAGCAAGACGTTAACATGATATACCTTGTGTTTCAGCAAGATGTTAACATGATATAGCCTTGTGTTTCAGCAAGACGTTAACATGATATACCTTGTGTTTCAGCAAGATGTTAACATGATATACCTTGTGTTTCAGCAAGATGTTAACATGATATAACCTTGTGTTTCAGCAAGACGTTAACATGATATAACCTTGTGTTTCAGCAAGGGGGCTGCTACCGGATCTGCACGAGTTTTTAGACCTGTTGACTTCACCAGCCACTAAAATACTGGACAGGTGGTTTGAAAGTGAACCTTTGCGGGCCACCCTCGCTACCGACTCAGTTATAGGTAAGTCATCATATTGTTACGGTTTTACTCTACAACAGATAATGAAACAGTAAATAACTAAACATTAACCATATCGTCCCCCCGATGTAATATTTAAAACCCTCCCCCTGACCAGGTGCATGGCACGGACCCTCGACCCTGGGCAGCTCGTACGTGCTGCTACATCACGTGATGGGAGGTATTGGGGAGAGGGAGGGAGCGTGGGGCTACGTGGAGGGCGGCATGGGTAATGTGTCTAATGCTATCGCTAGATCAGCTCTGGAGGCAGGCGCTACCATCAAGACTGATGCAGTTAGTTAATTGTAACGAGAAATTGTGCACACTTAATAATTAAATTACACTAATAATAGATTTCCTTGATACCTTGATTCTGAAAATCGGTACCACTCGATATTCTTATATGCACGCGAGCGCGGTGACAATTTCATAATGAAAAAGTCCCGTTTTGTACTTGCAACAACAATCTGCGCGTTACGCGCACTTAATTCCATCAGCTTATTCTATCCATACGCCACACATTGCCAGCGTATTTGACATTTTGTAGACGTTTAAGGTCTTAAAATTGATTCTGTTGACAGGGAGTTGAACAGATAAATGTTAACGATAACAAAGTGTGTGGTGTTACTCTGCACGATGGTACAGTTATTGAGAGTAACATCGTTCTTTCAAACGCGACACCAAAGGTAGGATTCTTGTTTTAAAATATAGATTAACCACATATTTTAAACGCCGTATGTTGCCGTAATTCAGTAACAGAACTATTGTGGGTAACAGAACTATTGTGGGTTATTTTAGCGTCTCACAACTTGTGCTTGTCCTCATGTTGAGATTCAGTAGAACTTAAGAAAAATATCTTCCAGGTGACGTTCCAGGATATTCTCGACTCGAGCCTCCTTCCAAAGGAATACATGTCCCATATCAAGACCATTGATTACACCTCACCAGTCTTCAAACTTAATGGTGAGACATTGTAAGACAATTGTAATAGTATGCGAAGTATTTCATTTTACGGCTTCACTTCCTTTATGCAGACGAAATCTGACAAATTTGTAATCGAGTCATACTATGGGGCTACCAGTCAGTAACCGCAGAGAAACTCGCAGTATTTGAAGATTAAAAGGTTAAATATATAACTCTAATACAACAATAACCCCGCTCAGTTGCGATGGACAAGATCCCCACATTTAGAGGCCACGCTAACGGCCCTGGTGAGACGGCCGGTCCTCAACATCAGGGAACTATACATCTCAACTCAGAAACTACTGGCATGGTGGATAGGGCCTTCTCTGACGCTTGCCAGGGCTTACCTAGTGACCGGTAAGTTACCTAGTGACCGGTTGGTTACCTAGTGACCGGTTGGTTACCTAGTGACCGGTTGGTTACCTAGTGACCGGTTAGTTACCCAGTGACCGGTTAGTTACCTAGTGACCGGTTAGTTACCTAGTGACCGGTTAGTTACCTAGTGACCGGTTAGTTACCTAGTGACCGGTTAGTAACCTAGTGACCGGTTAGTTACCTAGTGACCGGTTAGTAACCTAGTGACCGGTTAAAAGAGCCAACAATAACACTTTTATCACCCACAACTAAAAACCACTGATTTATATCCCTCAACAGACCTATTCTGGAGATGACGATACCGTCCTCAGTAGACCCAACTCTGGCCCCTGAGGGGCACCACGTTGCCAGCTTCTTCATCCAATACGTCCCCTTCTCTCCTGCTGAAGGAGAATGGACCGAAGAGAGGAAAGACAACTTCGTAAAGAAAGGTAAAAACCTGCGCCTTCTACTCGTCTAATTGTTATTACTACAAAATCTATAAAAATCGGATACATCCGAATTGTTGTTAAGAGACTAGGATTGAAACCACCCTGTAACCCAGTAATCCTCCTAGTATGGCTATAGAGCTAATAACCGCCCTTTAACCCCCTCAGTGTTCTCACAAGTAGACGAGTACGCGCCCGGTTTCTCAGACAGTGTGGTGGGGTACGACGCTTTGGCCCCTCCTGATCTGGAGCGCATATTCGGACTAACCGGAGGTAACTAAATACTAACTAGACACTAACTAAATACTAACTAGACACTAGTATAGGCAGCTCCTAGGTAGCTCTTAGGCATTAGGCAAGAGGGCTAGCATAGTGACATCGCCCGGTAACATGGTAACAGAAATGCAGGAGTTCGTGTGCGGCCAAAGCAGAGCTATACATTTGAATTTTTATGCTTAAACTCAAATTGCATGCAACTTTTGTGTGTAACTTGTGTTCTGGTGTTCACAGTTGACATATTGGCTACTTTGATCCGAAACTTCAAGGGCCTCGGAAATTTTGCCTTTTGACGGCACCAGATCAATTATTTGTGAAGTGCAACAATCCATAGCATGCCATGAGAATCAGCTAGAGAACATGTCAGCGCAAGATCAAGGAGCCGAGCATGCATCTCGCTGCCGCCAACAAATCAACAAATGATCCTTGAATTTGTAACAAGTTGTTACATGTCCAACTTCAACAATTCAAACCCCAAAAATTGCCATGATTCTAACTACACTCCTGCAGGTAACATATACCAGGGCTCTATGGGGCTAGACCAGCTGTTCACCCAGAGACCCACCTACCTGACCCCAGCCTACACTACACCAGTAAACGGTCTCTACCTCTGCGGTGCGAGCACTCATCCAGGTGGGGTTCTCTCTTTGTGTATGATAACTCCAAGCACCCGAGCTAATATCTTATTCAGCGAGATTTTGAGGTTTCAATTTGTTTGTTCAGTAATCAGTTATTAATGTAACAATTTAGTTCTAAATATCAGTCTAATAATGTCTGTACTTCAGGTGGCGGTGTACTTGGGGCTCCAGGTAGGAACTGCTCTAAGGTTGTCCTTCAAAACAGGCGCAAATAAGGAAACCGGGATTGTAACAGCAAAATTATTGTAAAGAAACGTATTACTTCGTTGAAACTTTTTAATTACACTTGAATTATGTATTACTGTTTGAATATCAGAAGAGTTGACACGTTGTGATTCCGTATTTTAGGAAGGCCTTTCGCCATGTTTAATTTCACAGATTTGAACAGTTTTTTGTGGGTTTTGTTAATAATTATATATAATTATATCTACTAAAGCGCGCTAAATTGAATTAAAATTTTTTGACTCAACTCGGAACTGAGGATAACCCTCAGCTGCTACTTTATCTGGACCTCGGGATTTGAAAGTAATCCCACATCCGTCATCCAAATATGGCTCGGTTCACAAAAATTTACCATAAATGTTAGGCTCTGTTATAGTTTACGTTGAGCCGTAGTTTTAGCTGCAGTGCAGTATTTTTACTTTCTAGTTTCTACGTACAGGGTGAGTTGAAAATAGTGTGTGGAAAGTAAATGGCTCTAATTTTTTTGACAAATGAAATTTCCACTTAATTTTTGCATATTTAGGTAATGAAAATATATACTTTTTATAATAATACAATTAAAATACTTAATAATTAATAATTTGCTCAACCCATCGTCCTTTATTAGCTAGGACATATTGATAACGTGTAAGAGAATTGTCTATAGCCGACTTGACTGTATTATGGGGGCAGGGGGGTCTTCATGGAAATTTTCTCAAAATCGACATTTTAGTTAGTTGTTTCTGATAGAGGGGAGTAATATCTATCAGATGCTTTTGATGCCGTGGAAAAATATCGTTCCTAGCCGAAATTATTGCCGGTCAAAGGTCAGCGCGTGTGTGGTAATTGTATTGCGCGAGCGATTTTTGATCGCGTGCCCTGAAAATCGAGTCTAAAAATCTATTTTCTCCTACATTTTTTGAGCAATCACCCTGAAACTTTCAGTATATGTTCTAAGGATCATTTAGAAGAGATGAGCCAGACAGAATTTTGACATAGGCCTTTTAAAAAAATTTTATTCGATTTTGAAAATCTTGGACCACGTTTTTTGATGATTTTTTGAGGTCCACGATTTTCAAAATCGAATAAAATTTTTTAAAAAGCCTATCTCAAAATTTTGTCTGGCTCATCTCTTTTAAATGATCCCTAGAACATATCCTGAAAGTTTCAGGGTGATTGCTTAAAAAATGTAGGAGAATATAGATTTTTAGACTCGATTTTCAGGGCACACGATTTGAGAACCCCATTAGGACAAATTTAAGATTTTTTGGAAAACTGCCATAAATCAACCAAATTATGAGTTAGAATCAAATGAGAGGCAATAATGAAATATGTAAAGTTAATGAACTGATAGCAATTCACCTTTAAAAATTTGCTCCTTCATAAAAAAAATGATCGATTTTTACTTTCCACACACTATTTTCAACTCACCCTGTATGTTTTATCGCAAATTTCTCGGAGACGATTAATTGAAAAGTCTGATCATACTGAGGAAGAACCACGGTTTTTATGTTACTAGCCGTAGTCTAATTTAAGCCGTATGTTGTATTTTCTATATTTAAACGTACTCAACGTAGACAGTAAATTTTTCAACTTTGAAATCTCATAATTACCATTAAATTGTGTTTGATTTTTTTCAAAAATGTGCCAAAATCATTCATGAAATCCCCGGCTGTGCCCCCGGCAAATGCATGGTTTTTGGCCGGGGCCGGGGTTAAATTTATTGCCCGGGCCGGGGTTTACCCCCGGCGATTTTCCAAATTTTGGCCGGGGGTTGTGATTTTGCCCGGGGCCCCGGTCGACCACTGCTCATGACAGTGATTAGCGTATTATTATTAGCAGAGGCTGGTAACCGAAAGCGAAAGTGTCTGTCACTTGTCAAAACAAGATTACCAGCCAATCCTTTGTCACGTCCACAGCGTGGCAGTATCACGTTTAATAGTAGTAGTTTTTTATTACAGCCATTATAGAAGAGTGACCTGTTGAAATGTAATTCTAATTTTTAATATATAGTTTTAGAGATGGTATTTATAGCGCCTTTAATTTATATAATATTTCAGCTATTGCATTTCCGTGACCTTACCTATTTTTCAATATGATCTATTTTTACCGGTGATATCAATTCTAGCTACAGACACGAAAATCTTTATAATTTTTCTAAATCTGATTAATTCTATGATTTGTTATGTGGTGATTGATCGAATGTCAATATACAGTGTATGTAATCTTGTATGTAGCACGTATGTAATTAGATGTTTAGGTTTGCATGTTTAATTATTCACAGCAGCATTTTTACAGGAATAGGAATTTATAGGAATTATGGACAAATATTTACCATTAATTGAATGTTTTATTTTGTTAGATTAGAGAAGCTATTTTTATAAAAATTCTTCGTTTAACTTTTTTCCTGAGCACCTTGCTCCCATTTTAATACCTAACATTCCTTCGAGACGAATTAAAACTCGGTTATTAAACATCAAATATTAAAATACTCTTTAACTTAATCACAAATGTAACATGTTCTATTTATAGACCAATCATTCTACTGGCTCGAGGGATCCCCCTTTACCACAGAAACTAGAGTAAAGTTTTATATAGACACCCTCCTATCTTCTAAGTTGTAACCTATTTGTCACCCGACCAGTGTACCTATGGTAACGGTACCTAGAGTACCTATGTTACCATGGTAACGGTACCTAGAGTACCTATCACTTGATGCGATAACTGTGCTCTGTCAAGATATTCCAGACACAGTTTTAAATGATTTTGATTGTTAATTTTGGGATAATAGCCATATTTAAATGACTTGTCGTCAACCATTTCAATGATTTTGTTGATATTCAGTAATATCCTCAAATAAACGGGATGTTGACAGTTTATAAGCCGCATTAATCTTGAATTTTAAGAGTACTTCTCGGCTAAGTTGTTGCAGAAGGACAGCTAAAACTCAAGATAACTAGATCTGGGATAGGATCACTGGTCGGGTGATGGAAATACACAGACACACTACCATCACGGGACACCCATATATGGGCATGTCACACTACCATTACAAACAGTACACTGCTATCGTAGTCTACTTTACCAATACTGCCGCTATTGCTCTCAATAAGGGAGGGTTTTGCTTGTTTTACGTCAATCTCGTATTTATCCTTCTACTTAGCCCAAGCAGGAGCCAATTTGGAAAATAAATAACAACTATAAAAATTCCGATGGTTTAAGTGGCAGAGTTTAGGCAATTTGCCTCCTCCAATACCAACTCGATGAAATGTCGAGTTGTTAATATTTTTAGAAAAACAGACAATTATTACGATGACAGTTGTATTCATGTCCCACTAAACTTTAAAGGCCAGTAGTGGAGAGCAATAGTGGCAGAATGTACGTGGTTGGTATCTACAAAATCATCTTTCTAACACACTCTTCTTCATCATCTCTCTTCTTAACAACGGTATTCATTTATCCGGTCTGCAGGTAGCATTCCAATATGTTCCAACTTAAAAACCATATTATCTATATATTCAATACCGATTTGAAGTGATGGTTTTTCCACCCAAAAAACTTCAACGGCCCACAATCACTTGACATGACAGTGATACACAAATTGGGAAGTTGTAATTGTAATTGTTTAGTTTAAAAACACCTACAAGATTCAGGAGTAATGCCCCGCAAAACTCAAGTAGAAAAAGAAAATCACGAGCCCAGATATATGCTACACAGCACTGCTGGCCAATACACTAGTAAGCATGTGGGTTTCACCCTTAGTTCCGCTTTAATACACGTGGTAGTAAGCATAAGCCAGCAGGCGCAGAAACATATTCCAACCGGGATTACACAGATCACCGTAGTATAAAACACAAACCTCTCAAACCTGATCTACATTTTAGGAGAAGTACATCACTAAGTTCACGGTGTTATTGGGTTGTCACGTGGTATATTTGGTTGTCATGTGATTTATTTGGTTGTCATGTGACGACAGGATGCATCCGCCGCGCTCTGTGTGTGCTGGTTCAGTTTGCAGGCAGGCAGGAAACACCACGTATACAATGCCCAGGGTTTATGTGCACTGCACTCCAATAATCTTCCTGATCAATTTATATTGAGCTTGTGCCACGTGCGTTACCAAGGTAACCAACGAGGACGAGCTGCGCCGTCACGTGATTTCCCGGCAGCCAATGAGAGAGCGCGACGAGATGTCACGTGCGTTGCCAAGCATCTCGTTTAGTCGTACTCTCTTGGATCAGGAAATACCGGATAGTGTCACGTGGCAAGAAGTTAGTCACGTGACAGCTAACCGGACATTTCACTGGGCCAGCACAGTGCTACATTGTAAACATTGAGCTATTTTTAGAATCGAGCGATGACCGAGCTAAGTCATGTTCGGGCCGGTGAAAGCAATATTTTGTCGCAAGAAATGCTCAGAAAATTCAGAGCGATGAAGAGTACTAGACGAAAACAATGTCTAATATTGCCATGACAACCATTACAGCGTTACCCTGACAACCACATTCTAACGTGACAACCCCAATAACATCTCCAGTGATCTTAATAAAACACGTCTTATTTCCAATTATCCAAAGAATTTCACTATAAAAATTGAAAAAAAAAACACTGAACCACGGGGTTGTTGCCAAGGCAACGTTCCCAAACTTGCATGTTTTCCATACTATTGAGATATCTAATAATTTAAATATAAGCATTAAGCATATGTACATTGATATTAAAATCATTGAGAGCTTATTTCAGAGCATAATTACACAACACACGCCAAAGAATTATCACGTGATACCCTTATAAGGGCATGCCACAAAGAATTATCAGTTCATTGATCGACGAATTAATTGCTATTAACAATCTAAATTTTCCACATCTTACAGGCCAATCTATAATATAGGAGGGAACTTATTATTTAGAGACTAAAAACCACTACTAAACATGGGTGTTAGGATTATCATTAGATAGAGACAAAAAATAAGTTAAGAAAGAACAACTAAATTTCTCTGCCCAATTTCTCGTAAATCAAAATTTGTTCTGCCCTTGAAAAATTACAATAATAGTAATGATAATAATAATGATATTTAATAACAAAGCTAGTAATACTTGGTATAAAACTCGACATGCCATCATATTTATAATAACCTATTCTTTATCTTTCGCCGCAAATCCTTCTAATACCCGTCACTTTTGGCAACTAAATTAAAAGGGAGTTTGCGGCTAAATACAAATACAAAATGATAAGAACAATCCGATATCTTTGAGATATAATGCACCTGCTATCTTCATTAAGCTATTGCCCTGGGACAGCTGCTGCATACCAAACAAACTTGATAAATATTCCACATGCACATATTCATTATTATTCGCATTGATTATCCATTTACGAGTAAGGGAAAACTTAAAGGGACTGGTCAAACAAGTCAAAAGTAATACTGCTGTTTAGTTATTGGTCACTGAAAACTACGCATATCGCCAGAAAACCGACAATAGCCGTCATTTTCAATGGCCCGTTGTTACAAAGTGTAAATCTACCCACAAATCTAAGAATATATACAAAGTGTCTCAGTAACAAGTACGATGTTCCCAAGGTTACAGAACAAGGTTACCAAGGTTACCCAGGTTACAGAACAATACAATTACACACTCTACAAAAATGTAACAATTCTAAAACATTGCAATCATGGCTCGCTACCTTTGGTCGGATATTAAGGGTGAGTAATTGTGATTATATGTTAAAAATAAATGTTGCAGGGTTGGCACAATATACAAATTTTGAGATAATTTACACGTTTAACTGGCGCGGACTTTTCCCCGTAGTGAAGTTGTTACCATGGCCATTGCCATGGTTACAGTCTCACTCGCGTGCAGAAATCCGTGCATGCACGTGCAAAGCGGAATAACTTAGCATAAAAACAAGGAGCATGGAAAGTTGCTGTAAGATTTAATAATTTACAAAAACATTATACCGATCGTATTTACATTATATCCAAACAAGGCAATTGGAACTGGCATTTGTGGCTAAAAGTTCGAACTTTGGGGTTATATCGGTCTTGGAAAAGGTCAATTTCAAATTGTTGTTCTCAAATCCGCGTCGAGAAAATCTGATTCAAAACAGGGAATCTGGATAAGGAGCAGGGTTCAAATAAATTAAATTGTCGGTAATAGGCACGGGAAACTTTCACCACAAAAGTCAGTACTATTGCCTTTGTTAAAGATAAAAGAGATTTAAATTAAATTAAATTAATTGTCTGTTTGAAAAAAACCATATATAAGAGTAATGCAATCAAAACAAAACAAAATCCAAATTACCTGACGGAGGTAGTTTATGAATAAATTAGAGGAATTACCTTTAAAACCGAAGAATAAACACCAACCAAACCGCATTGTCATGACAACACAGGAGCACATGTGCCGAGAGAGGCGGCACCTTCATTTCAACTTTAGGCCGTCCCTAGACCGCTGAAGACGGGGAGTCGGCTATTTTTCGTCAAGTTCAACACGTTCCTTAGAGCTTGAGCTGTCTGCCAGTCGGAGACAGGGGGAGGGATCTGGGCTGCTGCAGTTCTTCTGTTGTAGTTGGGGGTAGCTTGCTGACTAGACCATCTCTTTAGCTCGTTACCAAGGTTACGGTAGGGCATCTGCTGGGCCATATAGTCCTGCTGCTGGAACATGAGCTGGTTGGACCGCTTGAGGGGGTCGTAGTAGTCAATACGGGGGGCAGGGGGAGAGGGAAGGTGGGATATAGGGGAGAAGTTTTCAGGAAGGAAGACAGACTCTGAACCTTGCATCGCGTACGGTTCTAGGGGTGAGAGCTTCATCTCGGTTGCGTTTTGTCCTAACTCTTCTTTAGGGGTGTGGACAAAGTGGCATCTCTTACCGTACGGACAGAAACCCTCAGTGTGGAAAGTCCGGCAGAGTTCTGTCTTGTACTTGGGATGTCTGCAGAGAGAACGGAGCTCGGCCATGCCGTGCGCGAACTGGCACTTCTCTCCGTACTTGCACGTGCCGTACTCTTCGAACGCGCGGCATAGTTCTGTCTTGTACCGAGAGGAGTTGGACTGTCTCAATCTGAGAGTGAGACGTGTTAGCTTAACGGAAATACGGAATTATTAGATTTCTAGACGAACGAAATAAAGTTCATAATATTGCAATAGTAAATGAGGAAAACGTGTTAAGAAGAATACATTAAATGTTTAGAACTAACCTTCTTGGATCCTCCATAGCACCGCAATCAGGTGGACTGCTGGGTTGGGAGGAGAGGGAGGAGCTCTCAGCAGAGCTGGTAGATCCACACCGGTCCCTCAGCATTGTTCCCATTGTCATGCTACTTAAACCAGACATTATCTCAACAAGCTAGAGAGGGTGGGAGGGTTAGTTTGGGGATAACAACAATTAATGAGGTTAAATGTAACAATAACGAAATAACTAATAACATGGTAGCAACTGATAGTTAACTCGGAAACCATTCAGATAGATGCATAATTGGAGTTGCTGGAGTCGTTAATGGATCGAAATCTAACCATCAGCACTTTAAATATTGGGTCCGTTTTAAATTTCAGTCTTATCTTAACACCATTGATGTTGAAAGCTCAGATTATCAACCTCAGGTGGAACAGATTACAGATGGCCAATATTCTGGGAATTATCAGGCTTATTATTGTTATTATTAACGAAATAAGTTAAAACATTTAAACGTGTTGTCAGCAAACACGTGCATATTAACAAGAAAATGTTAACAACAAACTATTAACAACAAAATAATAAATAATAAATAAGTAAATAGAGTTTAAGCGCTGCCCGTCACCTTTTGAAAGTGACAGTTGATAGGGATGGTATGCCAATCAACAGGGAAATTTGAGACAACAGGTAAATAACAGGTAAATAGCAGGTAAATAACAGGTAAATAACACGAGACAAAGTGTCAGCTACAAACTGTCACGTGACTTACAGTCACAACCGTTCTCACCAATCTAATGAAATTTAATAAATTAGTTGGTGGACTGGTTCTAGGCCGTGCCAAAGCCTGTACAAACATTGTGAATCAACGTCATGAGAGAATATAATACAGTGTTATGTCTACCATTTATTGAAGTGAACTGATACTATGGAGGTAGTCATACAATTAAACTAGAGGAATAAAGTTGTAAGTAGCACAAAAAGTAGGAAATAACATGTAAATAACAAGGCTCAGTTACCATGGCAGTTAGAACTCCGAACTGAACACGTGAACTAGACACACATATATAGGATGTATTAAACATATGTTAAAAGTGTTACTGACTACCACCACCTCACCGCCACACAGCAATACTTCCCGGGTACCTGCCGTGTGACCCGGCGGGGAAGGTTTAAACTACTACATATGGTAAACCAGCAGAGATATTATTTAGAAGATAATTTAGGAAACAAAAGATCAAAACATATAATAATACAATATGATAAAGTAATTAAAGGTAATTAAAGGTAATTAAACGTACAGATTAATGCAGGCGGACGGTCGTGCAGGGTTAGTTTAATGGTTTGAAAACATTCTTATTAGCTTATTAACGACTTATATAACGAGAGAGTTAGCTGCACTATATGATATCATGTTACTAGTCCCCTTTAAAATGGAGCGTTCAATCTCCGGTAATTGCCACAAAATTGCATAAGTAGTTTATAATTGTATAATAAGGATAGGACATGGGAGACTGGCGGGGGGAGAGCAGGAGTCGGGGAGGCTTGGGGGTCCAATAAGGGGGGGGGGGGTCCAATAAGAGCCACACTTACAGGGAACAAAGTATATACAAGTCAAGAGACAAAAAGGGGAGTAATTAGTTAATTAGGTGATTAGATGTCCTGACTGGAGGACCTTCGTCTAGTTACACTGTTAAACGTGCACAAACAATGAGAATACAGGACAGCAGCTAACAACCTTAATCATGAAACTCTGATGGAGAATGTTACCATGGTAAATGGTAACTCAGTGGCAGTGGATGATAAGTATGAGCAGGAATGACAAGCTCGTTGACCACGCCGCAACAGCGCACAATTGACCTCATTTTACAATTATAAAACATGAGGAGAATGTGTACATTGTACACCAAATTATACACTCACTGCTCTATTTATGTGTACAAAACTGCACAGCCAATATCACACATTATATCTGGAGACTAAAATATAATAACCACATTTACTATAAATTGAAAAAAAGAACAGAATATTCTGGAAGGAAAGAAAAATATCAGAAATAAGAATAATAATAAATAATAACAATGACCTGCACGGAGTTACATATAAAGCAAGCTAGATTGCCGTAAAGTCTGAGGGAGATAAAAGGAATTACACCTCGCCACTATTGATTACAACACTAGTTCACTACACTTACACTTCACCACTATACTACTACTACTACTACTACTACTACTACTACTACTACTAGTATAGTGCTACTAGTACGAATTATACTGTGTTTCGATAGGGGATGTTATGTACAGCTAGATCATTGAGCTCTTCTTCGCACTTACACAATTCACACTACATTATGAAGTGTACGAGAAAGAGCAATTTGCAACACTGAGAGCTATTCTAAAATCAGGAGCTGCAGTACAGTGAGATTACACTTACAACTGAAACAGCGGAAATAAGTAATAAATAGGAATAAAGCAGTAAAATTGAAATTTTAAAAAGTAGTGTTATAATAAATTAGTAATAAAATAAAGTAGTAATATAATAAAGTAATAAAGACTCAAGTGAGTTAGCGAACTATGTAGGATGATTCACATGAGACGAAAGTAAAAGCTACCCAGTATAATATTACTGATACGAGAGTAAATCAATTTGACTCCTCCTAATACAGATTTTATAGATAAACTGAATAAAGGAGGGCCCTATGAACCTCAGTAAACCCAGGGGGAGACATAAACAAATTGACCATGTCAGAGATCTGGCAGTCCTTAATAGTGGATGAGAGAAGAAGAAGGAGATCTGAAAACGTCTTCTGATTTCCTGTCTTCTGATTGGTCAATCTGGTAGATTAAGATCTTCTGATTGGACGGTTAGCAGCCTACATGGGACCACTATTTAACTGGGAGGGATTGGCAGTAAGAGTGAGCCGGTACAAGTGCCCTGAGAGACAAGGGACCTGTCACACTCGTACAACACCTCTTCTCACTTCCCCTCACACTTCACCCCTACCTCTACACTACAGTACTGCTACAACACCTATACAACACCTATACTGCACTCCTAGTGCTCCTGTTTAACCAAAACCTTTCAAATCTGGGAAGTCTTAGTAAAACGCGCGGTTTCGACTTGCGGAAACGGTGGTGCGCCGGGCACGTGACTACCTTATATGGTAGTAGGTCACCTGACAGCAACATAGCATGTCAAGTAAAGGATACTGTCAGCTGTAACAACAATGGTAATGGTGACTGTAGTGCATGCACCTCCAAGGGCTGAGAAACGTGAAGGGGAAAGTGGCGGGAAGAAGAGAGGGAAGTAGAGAGTGACTAAATAATGGGCACATCACTACCGCGGAGAACCAGTTTTAGTTATCTAAATGATTAAATACAGTTTAATGCAGTATTACTCTTAATCAACAAACCAGCAAGAAAAAGAGTAACCGAATCACTTGCAAAACTGTTTCAAGATCACACAGCCACATGGAGTATAATAATACCGTTAATCGTAATACTATTTGCTCTCTTCTGATTACAAGTAGAATGAGTTAAATACAACATTATGGAGTTGCTATCTCACAAAGTAATAGCCAGATAGTTAGTTATCAGGATATCCCATATCTCGCACTACCCTTGCAACATAATCCTTGTACACGAGATACGAACACTTCAACACCCCCTTTTTGAGGAATGACAGTTGACAGATACAGCTCTAAAGCCATATTGTGCCCCGTCATCACCACATTATCATCAGCGGGGGAGAGGGTCATCGCCCTCTTTAATTTGTCTTGATATATTGACTGGGTAACATTGCAAAAACAAAGGAGCAGAAGCATACAAAGTTGTTCATTGTTCCTACACAACAGTGATGACCCGCACGGTGCGATTAACTCCGACATTCACAAAGTGTCAAAAAGTGTTCCAAACAAGTATAAGTTAATGAAAATAATTGTGCCGGTCCATGAGAATAATATACTAATTGAACGACAAATGAGGGTAATACCTCTGACAAATGTCTAATTGCAGGCCAACAAGACAAATACTCTTTACATGTAGTGAGAGCTTATTTGTCAGTATATTAAGCAGGTACCTGGTACAGTACCACTAAAATAAAACGTTTCAACTCCTCACAAACTCCTTTATAACACTATATAACAAAACAAGCCATTCACCAACACAAGAGATTCCGGCAGTTAACCAGTATGTGCCTGTATTCACTATTCAGCTGATCCCCCACTAATCACTATCCCTCTAAACGAGATCACAATCTTTCCCCACATTCCTTTATACCCCACATGCGGTACTGTTTGAACTGCGGGGCTGTGAGAGTGTGTCAAACTCAAACAACATTAGACAACACATGTAGCTAAAGACATAACAAAACACCATGTACAAATAGCGGCTATATAATGTAAAGCTCCAGATGTAAGCGAGAGAGGGAGGAGGGGGGCTTAATGGTTATCGGTATAAAGTCATTAGCAGAAAACATATGTTGCAGTCGAGATGGTGCAACGTGAACATAGTTTTGTGCTCTCTTCGCAAATCTCACTTTCTTTTCACGAAAAGGAACGTTAACAGAAATTCGGTCAATAAAAGCAACAAATTGTAGGAATTGGGCGGCAAATTAAATTGAACTCTAACATATATTCGGGTAAACTAAAAATACAAAATGAGAATACAAAGAAAGAGGTCGGCTTCTCAATAAATCACAACTAATTGCAGAGCGGGATTACAACAAGGTTTCACCTTTGAGATTAACAACGGCCGTTAACATGGCAAATACTTACATACCAGGATCAAAGCTATAATGAACAGGGCAAAGCGCTTCAGAAATAAACACTGTGATCTAACAATGAAGCAGGTAAAGCTAAGATCCGGAAATACTGCAGCGCTGAACACATTAACATTTGTCCTTAACAAGGTGCCGGGCAGTTCGAAGAGAGAGCCGCGCAGTTGGAGCTTCTCGGAGAGAGAAAGCCCTGTCAACTTGTTAACACGTTATAAAACCACACTGCAAAGCTGAGCACTATATCCGGGTAGCCGGGCAGAGAAAACGAGGGAGAGTGGTGACAAAACTCTGAACAATCTGGTGACAAGGGGTATTATTATTAGGAGGGAATCCAGCATGTTTAACATACCGCAGTGAGATGCAGTGCATTCCAGAGGAGAGAGGAGGTGGCAGGGAG